AGTGCTTCATGGTGCTTTGTGCTGTCTTTAGTACTTACATCCAATGCAAACGGGATTCTTAGGTCTTCATGAAGTGTTAGGTTTGACACATAGCAAGGTGCATCAGCTATCGTTCAGAGTATTTTTGCTTGACATCTTTAAATTATGGCTGTGTTTGACTTGCTCGCACATCCCCAGAGTTGGATTCCATACATTCAGATAGGATTTTCGTCGGCTGAAAGGATGATAACATCATCTGCTAACATATCAGTGATGGTTTCATTAGTGGAGGGTAGATCTGCTGTGTATAGCACAGATAATATTGGTCCAAGAACGCTGCCCTGTGGAACACCTGATTTTATAGGAAAATTATTGGAATTACTTTCATTCACTCTTGTTCGGAATTTTCTCCCACTCAAAATGGAATTTTAACAATTTCAAAACAAAATCAGGTATGTGTGCAGAACCTTATCAAAGGCTTGACTAACATCTAGAAAAGCAGCTGTACAGTACTGTTTGCTTTCCATTGCAGAAATTATGGTGGGTACTATTCTACAAACCTGCTGTAGTGTTTTTTTTCCAAAGCCAAATTGGTGGTTGGTTATCCATTCCTCCATATTGGTGTCTGAGTTAATTTTTTTACATAGTAACCTTCAAGTATTTTGGATACCACAGGTAGTAGGCTTATTGGCCTATATGATGAAACCTCGTTTGGATTTTTTCTCCTTTTGGGATTAGTATTATTTCAGCGGTTTTAAAGAGCTTTGACCAGTAGTTTAATCGTAGAATAGCATTGAAGATTAGAGTAATCAGTATAATTCCTTTATCTGGTAGTTCCTTCATCATCTTGGGTGTTATTTTGTCCAGCCCAGGAATTTTTCTAATGTTTAAATTTTGGATTTCTTGTTGAACTTCATTTTTGGTTAGTGGTCTGATTACTTGTATGTTCTCTGGAATGTAATTTATGTTCCTTTCAATTTCAATATCTGGAGCGTCGTTGTTGGGAGTAAATATTGGAGCTAGGTGCTCGGCAAATAGCGTTGTTTTTTCTTCATCACTTCTGGCCCCACTCGTACCAAATTAGTTGTCTGATTTGACTTAGGAATTTAAGTTTTTAATGAAATTTACACATGAATAGAAACATTTTAAAGCAAAAGTTCAACAGGGAAGCATCCAGTAACCTATATTGTTTCACGAGAATGCCATTCCAAAAATATTAAGTATAAAACTTACAAATGATTTTATTTATAATAAAAGTAAGTATTTAATTTCGGACTTACCTTAATTTGTAATTTGGCAGGGTGTGTTTCCTTTTTATCGCTTTCTTAATCTGATTAACTATAAGATTTGTGATGTTGGATTGTAATTGTCTGCCTTGAAAATGCGATTCAACTTGTAGATCCAAAACGGGATCAGAATAAAAGCTGAAAGACCAATGGGTGTATGGTTGTCTCGAAAACTGCAGTCTTGCTTTGCCGCTTATTTTTTTCACTGGAAACAAAACATATGTAGATAAGAAGCTGATTATATTATATAACACTAATACTGAAGTTCTGGCTTATGTTATTGCCTCTTCTGTTTGCCCCATGTTCTTTCACTTTAAGATTGCTTCTTGCCTTTCAATAATTGCCAATATTGATTCAATTTGCAGTTTCACCTTTTCTTCTTTTTGCTTAATTTCTTAATTTTTGTTACTCCTTTCACCTTCCCAAAGTACTTCATAATTTAAATTCCTTTTTTCTGTATTAACTGTCCTTATATAAATTGTACTATAAACTAAAAACACTTACCTTTAATGGAAAGATAAGCAGTTTTTCCAAACTTCATTTTTGCATCGATACTTAATAAAAAATTCCCCGTATAATCCAAACTTAAACACAAACTAATAGTCTCTATGTATCCTTCTTTTTTGTCTAATTTGACGTTATCTACAGTTATTTCCTTTATATCGGGAAATTCGGTTCCTAAATGCATATCTCTAATCTGAAATAGAAAAAACTTATGTGATTATAGCCTTAACAATGACATGTCATACATATTTATCTTTGCTAGTTAATTTTTAATCTGCTAAACCTCTAGAGAGGGAAATTAGGAATTACTGCAACGTCTTGAGAAAGAAAAAATCACTCTAACTCATTAAAGCTTCAACAGCAAAACTATTAATGCCATTATATCATACAAAATATTTGCGGCAAAAAGGTTAGCTCTCACAAACACTTACCTCGTTAAGGAGCAATATTTTGTCTAAGAGAAAAACAAATATAATTTTATACTTACAGTAATACTATCAAAAAATTTTCCTATGGTGGTTTTTGTCAGCAGTTCATCAAATTCTAGGCTTAACTTTTTATAGAGCCATCTTTTGATATACTCTGAATGTCTCAGTTCATGAAATAAAAACTGTAATACTAAACTAATTGGTAAACTATCTCCCTTCCCTCTGTCACTAAAGTCTTCAGTTTCTAATTTTTTCTTTATATCCTGAAACAAAAGATATGACTATATAGAAGATCTTAGCAGAACAGTAGAGTAAGAACTTGAAGTACAACATAAAATCAATGTGACTATATAAGAGCAATATATACAACTATAAAGAAGAAAGGATGGATGATAAACGAAATTCAACATTAAACCATTTTTAACTATTTTTAATTAAAAGTGAGGTATCAACAAATAAAACACTTTAATTATCCCATTTTTTATTTCTTTTACAAAAATTCATATGGCATATATTGTTCTTGAAGAAGAGTACAAGTAATAGAGAACTCAGACAAGTTTAGTGAGATATAGTAAATGGAAAGCAAGTTTCAGATGAATAAATGAAAGTTGTGTAACATTAATCTAGAAGTACTTTACTTTTTCAACAAAAACAAATGCAGAATAGGTTAGTAGGAAATAGTAATTATCTCAAGAAGAAATATAACCCTGACATTCCACTCCATATAGATTTAGAGGAAAAAAATTATGAAACAGAATAATAAGTACCACATTGTATTGAAATGAAGTTGGTAAAAATACTGAACAATTACGGTATTGTTCAGACTATAAGCTACTATGTATTTATATTTTGCATAATATTCAGAAAGACAAAAATAATAAGGTATTTTGCTGTATACAGTATACAAATGCCTATTAAAAATACGGAAGTACCTTTTATAATAATATATTGCTTTCCGTGTTCAGAAACCAATATATCATTACAATATATCTGCTGTGAATAATTATACTTCTGATAAGTATTTTTTCTAAAACATTTGAAAAATCAAAATAAACAGTTTCATTACATTGACCTTTTTAGATTATTATGAGAAACTATCAGCTAAAAATATATGCAATAAACCTAAAGCTGTTTCCTAATTAGATAAAAGCTGTTTGTATACATAGATTAATGTAAATGATAACATTTTTTAAATAAAAGCTGTTAATTTTGCAACATTATGAAGGCCAATGTTTAATAAATGAATAGTACCTGTGGTAAACTGTAGTCGGCCGTGTTTTTCGTTACATGAGGCTTTGCCACTGGGCTCTTTTTTAAATAAACATACAATACATAATACTGGACACTTAAAGTTAAAATTATGCCAAATAATACTGAAACGCAGCCCAGAAAAAGTGTAGCAAAAATATCCATTTTTCGTTAGTTGTAATTTATCACAAAAGACTGTTAGACCGAAGGGAATGTACTTAAATAGTTCTTATTATTTAGATCGATTAATTACATGATGAATCCACCTTTCTTTAAAAACAATATTTTTTGTTTTTGTCAAACTTCAACTTTAAAAAAGAAGAACTGTTGAAAACATATGTCAACATTTCCACTATCACGGAACGATAGGCGGTAGGCTTAAAAATTAATATTCCAGATTTTCAACGAAAAGAGAAGCAATATAATTTATATCGTGAAATTCAATTTTAGATTCTCAATGTCGGTCCATTCATCACCTGCTTGCTTTGAAAATTGTAGAAGGCACAGATTTAGGCAAAAATCTGAATTTTGGTTTCAAACATCTAGAAATCTATGGATTTCTACTTTTTGTTTTGAAATATAATTGATTTTACCAACTATTTTTCTTCTTACAGGTTTTGAAACCTTTTCCGAGACACTTGTGTGGCTCTGGAAAACGCTACTGATCATTCCTTTAGTAAATGTCGTAATCAACCCAAAAAAAGATATTTTAAAATGGAAGACATACTTGATAGTTCGAATTTTTGTCAGGGAACCACCGAATTGATTTTACAATTCATTTTATTTATTTTAGTGAAAACTTGTATAGGAAGGCTTAAGATGGCAAAATATTTTCACAAACACACAAGTTTCGTGATAATTTAAAAACAAAATTAAATAACGAGTCTGGCTGTTCGTTCCCTTGCATCCCTCATATCTCAGCTTCATTATCATCCTCGGCGCTACAACATGTGGTGTTTTGTCACCTTCCATAATTCGCCTTAAGTCTCTTCTCCTATACAACACATCTCTCATCTCTTCATTCATTAATCTGCATCGCTTTCAAATATTTATCGGTCACTTGGCATACTCCCCGTTATCCCATTGTCTAACGCCAGTTTCTTAAGCAGATCTTTGCAATTATTTACCGGTGTTAATTTAGTATGGATGTTTATTTGCTCATAATAATTATATATCTTTTCCGACGATTATTCATATAGTATTTTTGATTGCTAAACAGATTGTTTGAAAAGTTTGTTCCACTATGGTTGATAACACTCCTGTTAAATATATTTTATTTATTGCTGCACTTTTTAAATGATGATAGTTACATGTATAAATAAATTTAGATCTTTTAACACTCTATTTTAAAACGAAAATAAAATCTTCAGAAATAAGACACACTGTATATTTATCGCACACGGCACAAAACATTTGTTGTCGATGTCGATGTCAGTCAACAGTCACTTTGGTATACAAATTGTCATCTGTCAAAAAGTTCTATTTTACAGTTGGCTCTGTTTCTGAACATATTTCAAAGTTTTAAGCAAAATAAAGTTAAGATATAAACATAAAAATGAGTCGGCGAAGGGCTCATGATGATGATGATGGTTACGGTAAGGGGTTTTTTAATTTTGCATTGTTACATCTAATATTCTGACATACTTTTTTTTAGAGAGAGCATACAGAAAACGGCGTCGTGTATCAGAAAACCAAGAAATCGAAGACAGGTTAGAATCTCTCATTCTCAGAGTAGGCGAAAAGAGTACGTCGTCCCTAGAAAGTAACTTGGAAGGTTTAGCCAGTGTTTTGGAAGCAGATCTGTCAACTTTCAGGGCGAAGATCTTAAGGATCCTCACAGATTGTGCTATTCGAATGCCTGAGAAATGTACCATTTATACAACATTAGTAGGGTTGTTGAACGCTAAGAATTATAATTTTGGTGGAGAGTTCGTTGAGTATATGGTAAAAAGTTTCAAAGAATCTTTAAAACAATGCAAATGGGATGCTGCCAGATATGCACTCAGATTTTTAGCAGATCTGGTAAACTGTCACGTCATTTCGAATACTTCGCTTCTGCAGCTACTAAACAATATGATAGATACAGCAAATGAAGATAATGTACCACAAGTTCGTAGAGATTGGTATGTTTTTGCTATACTTAGTACACTACCATGGGTTGGACGAGAATTGTATGAAAAGAAAGAGAAGTCATTATATGACCTGATGACTCAAATTGAAGTATTTTTGAACAAAAGGTCAAAGAAGCACCACAAAGCCTTAAGAGTTTGGGCAATAGATAGCCCCCATCCACAAGAAGAGTATCTAGATTGCCTTTGGGCACAAGTACGAAAGTTGAAGCAGGATAATTGGGCTGAAAAACATATTCCTAGGCCATATTTGGCTTTCGATTCTATATTGTGTGAAGCCTTACAGCATAATCTACCTTCTATAATACCTCCACCTCACCATGAAACTTATGAGTACCCTATGCCTTGGGTTGTATTTAGGTGAGTGAATTTTTTAATATTAATCTTCTATAGTCAGCTCTTTGTGATAATGTGGCGATATAATACATTGCAACTTTCTAGCAGATGGCAATTTCTAAAAACAAATTCCTATAATATTATGTAATGTAAATTTGTTCCCTGATAGGCAGTACATCCGTTTCAACTTAAAAACTGTTGTTGACTGGCAAATAGCGTTTAGCTCAAACAATTAACAAACTTGTGCTAAAAATGTACAGGAGTTGATCAAAATGAGAATATTATAGTTTTAAAAGATATAACAGTCACAGTACTTATTTTCTCACTGTTGTACTATTGCTTTTTGTAGTTGCAATTTGTAGTATACCCTTTATAAACGCAGTCTAAGATCTATACTCTATAGAGTAGCTATATACACCATATTTTCAAAATCTTTGTAGACTTGAACCCTATGCAACACTACATCCATTTACTTATTTTACAATAATTTGTTTTAGGTTATTTGACTATACAGACTGTCCAGAAGTGCCCATTTTACCAGGAGCCCAAACCATTGAAAGATTTCTCATTGAAGAACATCTTCATTCAATTATTGAACTGTACCACTTGGAAAGGAAAGATTGTGCTGCTCACCTGTTGAATTTTCCTTATAAGTTGAAAATTCCTCTAGAATACTGTATCGTAGAAGTCATTTTTGCAGAATTGTTTCACATGCCCAAGCCAAGGTAGGGATATAATGATAATTATTATTATTATACAACTTTTGGTCAGTTTAATAGGACAAAAAGGTTCTTAAAATTGAAAAAAATTTCGTTACACTAATTTGTAGATTATTCCCATCAAAATATGATGTTTATTTAATTTTTACAATCAATTGTTAAATAATTTAATAATTCTTTATTTTCAGGTATATTGAAATCGCCTATGGTGCTATTTTAATCGAATTGTGTAAATTACAACCCTCTACCATGCCCCAAGTTCTCGCACAAGCTACTGAGATGCTATTTAACAGAATAGATACTATGAACGTTTCCTGCTTTGATAGATTCGTTAACTGGTTCTCATATCATTTGAGCAACTTCCAGTTCAGATGGTCTTGGGAAGACTGGGATTCCTGTTTGACTTTGGATGACGAGCATCCTAAGCCTAAGTTTATAAGAGAAACTATGTTGAAATGTATGAGGTAAGATCAATCGTAAAAAAATTGCTATTCAAGTTTGTAATTTCACTTTCTTATTGTTTGTTTGCAGACTGTCTTATTACCAGCGAATTCGCGAAATTTTACCAGAGAGTTTTAGCAAATTTATACCAGAAAAAACTGAACCTGATTATAAACACGCCCAAGAAGGAGCATGTAAGTTTTTTTATCAAGTAATAGTAGCACTTTATATCTTAATATTTTTTAATATGAGCTGGGGTAAAATAAATAGAACAAAAGTATAAAAAATATATTTTACTCAAGACACAGTATATACATTTTTTAAATAACTATTCTAATAATTAAATAGATATGATACAGTCAAATTGAAATCGAGGGTGAATTTTAACATATAGTTTATAGAGCGGACAACAGGTTTACTATGATAACAATTATGTTCCAAAAATGTAAATTTAAAATCGAATTACAGTGGAACATAGATTTATAATTGGAATTATTGGAGAATTCAAAATTTCCTGCAGTTCTTTGGAATCATGGATGAAAATATCTATAGTTCGAGTTTATTCTGGTTAATTTGAAGTTAATACTGTAATTTTCATCCACTGCTTCGGAATGCAGTGTGTGTTTATGTGCAATACTCTTAATGTTGTTTTAACCATACATTATGTGGTTGACAATACTACTAACTTATCTTATTCATAGCTGTCTCTTTTTTCGGTATCTAATTAATTATCCAACCAATAATTCCCAGAATAGCATTTTAGAGAAAGGTTTCCTAAGAGGGAACACCTTTTATGAAGCAATCGCAAATTTGCACTTGACGGAATAGATGAAACAAGCTGCTGGTGCATAGACTGCCTACTGAAGAGCTGTGTGAAATATGCAACATAATTGGAATATACAATGTCAATACAGGTAGCCAAAGGCTGGCTGGATGAGGAGGCTTATCACCTTTCTTGCGAAATCTGGTTATTGATAGGTTGCTAACTAGATTCATCAATAACAAACATCGTGCCCTGGGCTAGACCTCCAGATAGAATGCAATAGGCTCTGATTTCAGTCACAGAATTGACTTAAAATGTAGAGCTTTAATGATTTAAAGGGATTAGTTTCTCTAAACCTGAATGGTAAAAATCAAAATCTGGGAATTGAAGTAAAGTATTTTCGGGTGATACTAGACTAGAGTCTTATCTACTTAGAATCACCAGATAAACTGAAAAACCCAGAGAATGGTAACTACTTTAATATAAGCCAGATGCACAAATGCATCAGTGATATAGATGGTGATATGATGGTCAAAGATGAAACAAAACAGGGCCATCCTAAAAAAGCACAAAACAGGGCTATTTTAAACAGGTTTTAGAACAAGACAACTTTGGAAAACATCCACCTGTAGACAAGTTCATAAATAATTAGTTTATTTTTAACAACAACACTAGTAAAATAAACAGGTTCCCCCATTTTCCTGTTTATCAACATGATATGAATAAATATAAATAGTCACAAGAAATAATAGAAATATGGACCAATTTTGTCCTGGTATAATACCAAATTATAGTTTACAAGTAAAACAAATAACAGTAGAAAATTAAGTTCATGTAAGTATTAAAAGTAGCTTCATGGCCTATTTGATTTTTATTTCTGGCTCCAGTTTTTCAACAGAAAAGACTTTTATTTTCTTCTTTATTTTATTTATGGTCTGGTAAATATATGGTTATGTAAGTATATGTGAACAAGTTTGTTAACATGTATTTGGCAACACTGCAAACATTTTCAAGTATGTCTGATTTTCAAAGAAAATTATCAAAAACTTACGTAACGATCAGTTTATTCTAAATTAGTTATATTCTTGCAGTTGATACAAGTGTTTTATGCAGCCTATTAAGTCTTTTGTTCCTCTTCCGGTTCCTTTTTCTTCCTCACAGGTCTTTTGGACCTAGACATGTAGGTTTTTCGCCTTCTGTACTTTGCAGCTTTGGCAGTTCTATTAGTCCTATTCAAATATTCTAAGCCTTTGGCATGACTGACTAACCTCAAGGCTAGATCTTCAAAAACGGCTTTGGTATTTTCTGGAATACTCATTTCAGTCACTTCATCGGGATATTCAGCTTTATATATAACAAAATCAGTTCTGTTGGTCGGCATTTGTTTAACTATGGCTTTAGTAGGGGTTTCTGGGGGTGGGATTAATATATTGGCTGGTGCACCTTTTGTAAAAACTTCCAATTCCTTATCTTTACTGGAGGTTTCTTCTACAGCCGGTGTAGTAGTAGCTACAGATTCTTCTACAGGAGGATCAGCAAACGAAGCAGTCGCTGATGTCACTTTTTGTATATAAGTACTCTCCATCGTTGTAGTTTCAACAACTGTTGTAGTAGATGTAGTCTTCAAGGTTCTGCTTGGTTTCTTTCTGGTATAGTCGAATTTTCTGTTCTTCAAACTCTTCCTGAACATTGGTTTCGTCGGTGTTCTCAAAGTACTTGTTGTCAAAACACCAACAGCCTCAGTGTTACTCCTCTTATTCACTTCATAACTAACTTCAGTTTCGTAACTTTGACTTGTCAGAAATTGACTGGCTTTTTTCTTTCGATCATTTTCTTCATCAGCAGCTGTAGAAGCTTCATAAAAGCCAGAAAATATAATCTTGGAGTTTTGAGGTAACTCACCACCAAACAACTGTTGGGATATATCAGATTCTGTGTGACTTGTAGTACTGGTGCTCGTAGGTTTTTCTGTCTGTGTCGTAGGACCAAAAATGTCGTCTAGAGAATAATCATTTTTTACAGAACCTACATAAATGGGGCCGTTATACGGCTCAGCTTCGGTTAAGAAATCGCTTGGAGTGGTTGTTCTGCGACTTGTCGGTTTTGTTGTAGGTTTAGTTGTTGTTGAAGCTGTAGTTGTCATTGTAGAAAATGGAATTTGCGTCATTGTTTCAGGACTGGTAGATTCCAAAGTTATTGTGATAGTTTCTTCGGGTAAAGTTGTTTTCTGTGTTATTTCCCCTGTAACTGCTGTTGATAATTTTGTTTCATATTCAGTTGAAGGTAATACTGTACTTGTTGTTTCAAAATTAGTAGTTGTAATTTTTGTTGTAGCATTCTCTTCTGTAACGGTTGCCGGTTCAGTTGAAGTTTCTTCTACTAGTGGAGAAGTTGTCGATATCAATGTTGTCGGAGATGATGTAGTTACCATAGTTGTCGGCGTTTCTGTTGAAGGTATCGTTGTTCTTGTTGGAGCTTGATATTGTGTTGAAATCACTTCAGTCGATGCAATTGAAGTTTTATATTCCGTAGAAATACCCTCAGCAGTTACAGTTGTTTTCGTTGGAGCTTCATATTGAGTGGAAATAACAGTAGGAAGTGTTGGAGATGTTGTAGTGACCCTTGTTGTTGTGGTGATTGTAGTTATTGGTATGGTTGTTTTTGTGGAAGGTTTCGTAAATGTGGTTTTGGTACTAGTTTTTTGTGTCATTGGCCTGGATGTGGTGACAGGTACTGTTTTTGTACTAGTTTTGATTATCTTTGTGGTCGTTGGACTTGTTGGTGTACGGGATGTCGGTTTAACATACATTTTGGAAGTGGACGGTATTGTTGAGGTAGTGGTTGGTGTTTTCGTTGTGGAAATTGTCGTTTTTATCGGCTTCTTTGTACTGCTAGGTAATTGACTGGCTTTTGGTATTGTGGTTGGTCTTTTTGTGGTTGAAAAAGTCGTTTTCGTGGATTTCTTTGTGCTGCTAGGTATTTTAGTAGTCTTTGATTTTGTAGTATATTTTTTGGTCGGTCGAGATGGAGGTTTAGTGGTTGGTGAAAGTTTTTGAGTTGTTGCTGGTTCGGTTTGAGGCATTAGAATTTCTTCACCAGTTGGCATATAGTAAGTTATAGTAGTTTTCATAGTTGTCATTGTTTTGGGAATGGTACTAGCTGTAGAGCTTATCGTCATTGGCGACGTAGGCATACTTGGCGTGGTAGGTATCTGCTCTTGACTACTTCCTGTTACCTTAGTGGTTTCTTCCATCGACGTAGTCGATGAGACATGTGAAGTGTTTTGTTGTTGAGTGCTACTGGTTTTTGACGCAAGAACTTCAAGTAGTTTTTTGTACAATTGCGCTTCTTGTGTATCATCGCTGACATCAGGTGGCAGATATTGAGCAGGAAGCGATGTGAAGAAACCTGGATAGCTGTATAATATGTTCCTGTGTCCCTCGGAATCTACTCCCAAAGGAACTTGTGGCTTAAAATTATTTTGAGGAATTTTTCGATTATATACCTAAAACAAAATAATAATCATTAGAGAATTGAATGAAAGGCTTAATAAATGTTTAGAGACCTTTTATCTTTTATTTTAAAAATCATACTCAAAAAACTTTTACATCAGTGGTTCTCAAACTTTTAGCACTGAAGATAGCCCATGCCTCCCCTCCAGCCAATAATTGGTTGATTCAAGTTAGAACAGTGAAATTGTGAAACTGACGATGCTAACTCTATGTTAGCAAAAGCTCTGATGCTAAATAAAAATCCAGATATATTTAAATACGAAAGTTTATTTGATGTCTCATAAAACTTAACATTGTTTATTTATTTGAGAAAACGAATAATCAAAAAATCAAATACGCATATAAAGTTGAAAGTCTTATATGAGTGTTTTTGCATTTTCAATGAAATGGTTGGCATTGTCTGTTCTTGACAATTTTGTCGATATTCGGTTAAAATTGTGTCAGAGCACACCTCAAGTCACTGTCAACGTCCAGCCTTGAACGGTATTTCGATGTTATATACGCCAATGCAGAAAAAACAGATTCGCAAAGATATGTGGATGAAAACTGGACTAATAACTTCGCAGATACTAAAGCCACTTCTGCGTAAACAGGAAAGTAGGTTAACCAAAATTCTTCCAAGTCCATGGTTGCAAAATCTGCTTTTGCTTGTGAATCACATTTTAGGTCAATTGCCTGCTCTTGAAGGTTAACTGAAAGAGTGTCAACTTCGATATGAAAAGGATCTCTTGTCAACTTAAATTCCCAGTTTTCCGAGCTAACATCTGGAAAGTACTTTCGAATTTGATTTTTCAGTTCTTCCAAATGCCGTAATATGACATCTTTCAAATCCGAAACTAGATGTAGTAGAAGGGTTTTTTAAGGCTTTGAAGCATCAGATTCAGGACATTAATTGTCTCAAAAAAGTCTGACAAATAAGCCGAGTAAAAGATATTTTTATCATCTGTACATCTTCTGTGAAGATCTTCTTGTTTTGAAGTCATTAACAAAATTTCAACTTCTGACCTTAAATTGAATAATCTTGCAAGCATATTTCCTTTGGATAACTACCGGACTTAAAATATATATTTTTTAATTTTTAATTTTTTTTCTTTGTACCCACACGCCTCCCCTGAAACTCTCTTACGCCCCCCAGGGGGCGCGCCTCCCAGGTTGAGAACCACTGTTTTATATTAAAGTGAAAACTTCTATTGTAATTCATAGGTATATATTTATTTAAATATTAAATCAAAAATTCCAAACTTTCAGAACTAAATTGGCTGGCTTCTGCATACCAAAACTTATGTGAGTATATTGTTTCGAGTAGGGGTAGATTTTTCTCGAACAGTTAAATCTGTAGTCATCATTATGTCGGTTATTTAGTACTGAAGTATTTAATATTCAATTTAAACTCACCACCTGCTTGGTGATGAAGTTGTATATCAAGTACTAAGAAAAGTTCACGGAAAATAAGATCGAAAATGTTCGTTCTGAACAAAATTAACTATTGTAATTTATTTAGATTTTTTTATTTAATTTTTTATTACAGAAGTTTTCACTTCGATGTAAAAATTGCTTAACTATTATTGTATATAGCCAACTCCTGGAAACTCTCCCACTTTAAAATTATATACAAGTTCCTTACCTCGGGATAGTTCTTTTCGTTTTTACCGCTTCGAACAGCGAAAACGTGCCCCGGAATGGCGTAGTTGAATTTCCCCCTTCTCATGATGATCTGATCGTTGTTTGCATTGAGGGGAGACACGATATATTCTAGATCGAATCTAGTTCTGTCGACATCTCTGTGCCGTATCCTCTTGACAGTCCACAGGGCTACCAATATTTCTTGATTGTGTGGACTGTAAGGCTGAAAGGGGAAATATATTTATTATATAAGAGCTTTGAAACAAGGAGGACACGTTGAAATCGTACCTTGTGTAGAAAAATATCTTGTACAAATCTTAATAAGCCGCTACAAAAGGGTATTAAGCGAAAAAGTTATAGAACTGAAACGAGAAGCTGCTACGTTTGATCTGTATATAAATGAAAGCAAAACAAAATATATGGAGTACACAAAATCGAATCAACATGAGAATATGAAGGTAGACAACCATACCTACAAATGCCTCCACTTTTCCCTACCTAGGCTCAATAATAAATTACAACAACAACATCAGTCAAGAAATACAAGCACGGATTCTTAGCGGTAATAAGTGCTTTTATGCATATAAAGACGCAATGAAAAGTAAGTTACTGAATCGTGAGTCTAAGCTTAGAATCTAGAAAATTAGACCAGTGGTCTAATTTTCTATGGATGTGAAACGTGGACCCTCTCAACCACTGATGAAAATCAACTGAGAATATTTCAGCGCAAAATACTAAGGAAGATATTTGGACTAACCCAATGCAGCGATGGTTCGTGGAGAATTAAAATGAAGCACGAGCTGGATGAACTAATGCAGCGCGCATAGAGAGAGAGAGAGAGAGAGAGAGAGAGAGAGAGAGAGAGAGATTTGAAAAAACCGCTAACACCAAAGAAGGAGTCAATTAAAATGAGTACAGCAATCTGACATGGACATTAAGCATTTATTTTGTCTTATGCATCTTAGAATAACAGTCATACCAATACAATGGAAAACTTCAATAAACACCTTCAGAGTGTAGTAAACGAGATCACACAAAACGAATATTTTATCATGATAGGTGATGTTAACGTCTGTATTAGTAATGATAAGGTACCAGGAGTAAAAGAACGATATAATGAAAATATCAGAAATGAAAACAGATACCTCCTGATTTCACAAAAACACATGAAAAGCAGAAGAAGGCAAAAGTTGAAGGTAAAGACGGAATACCAAAAGAACTACTGAAATATTGTGGAGTAGTACTGACTGAACAACTAATAGCATTAATTATCAAAATTATAAAACACAATAAAATATCGGAAGAATGATGAACTATTAAATGCTTAATGCTGGAATGTAGCTACTGGATATCTATTACCTACTTTTGTAATACACAACTTTTTTTATCTACCTGACAGTCGTGTCTCTCGCATCTTCTCGGGTTGTAGCAATCATCGCAGTCATTTTGGTATGGATCCTGCAATAGAATGAAATTTCCGGCATGGATGGCATACAGTTGACCTCGAGCTAGCACGGCAACGTCGCCGAACGGTGTGGCATGATCTTGGCGGCCTATAAGTTGTGCGCCGGTCAGCCGTTCTCGAAGGTTAGGTTCCCAGTAGCCTTCTCTTAGTAAGGCTTGGTGGATAGCTTCACGAAGACCCACCTAGGGGAATGTTTTTATGAAAAATAAAAATTAGAGACTGATATTTATTTAATGTTTAATTTTTTTTTAATGTAAGTACTTTTTGAATTGTCTTTATAAATGGTAAATTTTCTATGTATATGTAATTTATGTAAATATTTTTAAATTCAGTTGATAACAGTATAAAACCAGCTTTTAAACACACCTCAGTTTTGAAAATTTTTTCTAAAATATTTTTACGTCTGTTCTTTTTGTACTCTATTTAAAAATGATAAAGTTTTGTAAATATGTGAATGTAGTGTATGTAGATATTTTTGCAACTTTAGTAGACAATGTTAAAGATCCGCTTTTAAACACATCTAACAATCGAGTAAGTAATGCAAATCGAAAATAAAAGTACGATCCTGTCCAGAGGCGATCCCCGCTGCCTTGCGGTAGACACTTATCGATAATAAAAAATATTAATGACTCTCTTAGATCTCTGGTAGGACTATACTTGGTGTAGTCTATACTGATTCGGTTTTTCTTTAAAACGAGTGAAGATAGAAATGATTCGTATGGAAAACACCGAAGTTATTAAAAAAAAACGATTATCTCGTTAAAAAGAAAATTAAATTAATGACTTAATTTGATTGATTTAAATGAACAACCATCGCTTCGTGCATAGACGATAAGAAAGCTATGCTTCCCCTCGTTGATCACTCCCGGAGTGAAACATCTCGTTTTTTATAAATATCAGTGGCGGAGGTGATTTATAAGTGTTGAAAATATTAAATAGTTGCGAGATAAAATTATGAATATTAAGTTGATTTCAATTCACTATAAAATGCATTATTAGATAATTGTCTCTGCAAATTTTATAAAGGGTAGTTTTTAAGGGTTGAAAAATAATTATATATTATAAAATGCATTCACATAATAATTTAATAAAAAAAATCTTTATTTGGCATGATGAAGATTTAAATAACGCATAAATTTGCAGCTTTTAATTTTTGATAAAAAGGGTAGTTTTTACCAATTAAAAACAAGAACAAGACATTTTAATCATATAACTTTTGAAGAGGAAGGTACGTTAAGCTCACTTGTAAAATTTTATCAAAATCGGTGCGGTCCTTTAAAAATCTGAGATTTTACAATATTTTACCGTGTTTGGAATGGACTATTCAGTGCTGCGAGTTTTACTCAATCATTGCTTAACAGTTAAACTTTAGTTTAACCCTGGAACTGCACATTGGGGTCTGAAAAACACAGGCGCATGAATCGTTCATTGTAACTTGCGCATGTCGGTGTCTTTTGGCAATCCCTTGCAAGTAAATTTAGTTAAGAGCCGACTACGTTGAGATACAGTCACTGCGCCGCCCAAGTTTGTTGTACAGTTTGCTGTGACGCTTTTAGTGGAGCTGTGAATACTTCGAACCCCAGTGTGCAGTTAAAGAGTGTTTTTTGTTATTTGCTAGTATGGCAGATTCTAAGAGAAAATATCAGCGTCCACTGACAACAAAAGAATTAGAATAAGAAGCTGAAAACCTGTGGGCAAATGAAGATGAATCGGAGACCGTCGAAGATCATTTGGAGACTCATCAGATGATGACGATGATTATGTACCTGAACATCAGTCTGACACTGATAACGAACAACAAAGTGACGACGATAATGAAGAAGAACAAACAGAACCCAATATCTCGCAAAGAAATATCGCCTTTATACTGGGAAAAAATGTTCATCGTTGGATCACACAGGCACCAGCACGACAAGGATACCCAAGAAGGGATAACATCGTTTTACATTTGCCTGGTTTAAAAAATGAAGCAAGAAATGTTAGTAGCCCTGTTGAAGCTTGGAATTTACTATTTTCTCAAGAGATTGTATACATTATTGTGTTGCATACAAATCAAGAAATTCTTAGGAAGTGTCAGAGTGGCTTGCCGGAGAGTTACAAGAAATAACCAACAACACAGAAGTCAAAGCATTTATTGGTTTGCTGTATCTTGCTGGTGCATTACGAGCCTCAAATTTCGGGCAAGCATGCCCCAACAAAGATTTCAGTTTTTAGCTCTTTGCTTGAGGTTCGACGACAAAACAGGCAGAAATGCTAGAAAATTGGTTGACAAGTTTACCCATATTTGCCAAATATGGGACATTTTTATAACTAGTTGCAAGTTATACTACACGCCCTATGAGAACTGTACAATTGATGAGAAACTCGTGAGTTTTCGTGGAAAATGTCCCTTCTGAATTTACATGGCCAGCAAACCTGATAAATATGGAATGAAAGTCTAGTTCTTCTTCTACTTTTTGTAGATCTTTCGATCTGTTTAATTCTGAAGCTGCCTCTGGTTAATTTCTTGGGAGGTAGATTGCCAACTATCCCTCCATCTTTTAGGTGGTCTTCCGGGGGGTCTTGAACCGGGCGGATTGTTTTCTAGGGCAATTTTTGGGAGTCTATTCTCATCCATTCGTCTTACATGGTTGTACCACATCCTCTTGCGCTGCCTTCCCCATCTTACAATATCTTGAATTTTGCACTGCTCTCTAATGTTTGTATTTCTCACTCTGTCTCTTCTTGTTTTCCCCATTATTGTTCTTAGGGTTTTCATTTCGGCAACCCTTAGCATCTCTTTCGTTTTGTTGGTATCTTCGCGCACTTCTATGCCATATGTCATGATCGGTCGTATGCAAGTCTTATAGATTCTAATTTTACTATCTGTGCGCATATACGGATTTGACCAGACTATCTCCCGCAGACATCCTGACAGTGCAGATGCTTTGTTGATCTGACTCCTCAGGTCCTTTACTGGGTCGTGGGTGCTTGATATATCTATGCCCAGATATCTGAATTGCATCACCTGTTCTATGGGGTTGTCCTCAACCACTAACTTACATCTGAGCGGATCTTTTGCTATTGTCATACATTTAGTTTTGTTGGTAGAGATGTTTATATTTAGTAGTCGGCTTGTTTGAAAGAACTGAAAGAGCTGCCTTTGGAGATCATCTTCTGATTCGGCAATAATTGCTGCATCGTCTGCGTAACACACCATACCAATTCTTTTGTTGCCCATTCTATATCCGAGATTAAGAGATGTTACTTTGTTGATAATTTTGCTCATGAGAAGATTAAACAAGAAGGGGCTTAAACTGTCGCCTTGTCTAATTCCTCCCGGTGTTGGAATATTTTCAGTGAATTCGTCTCCTGCTCTAACTTTGGTTACGTTGTTGTTATTTAGGTTATGGAGTATCTTTGTTATACTGGTCGGTGTTTCATTTTCTATTAATATATTTAGAATGTCTCCCAGGCGAACTCTGTCAAATGCCTTCGTCAAATCAATGAAGCAAATATACGCTGGCATGCCGAACTCTATAGCTTTTTCTTTTATTTGTTTTATTATAAATACTGCGTCTGTTATAGACCGCCCTTTTGTAAAACCTTGTTGTTCTTCAGCATTAGTGATTTGCTTTTCCAATTTGTCCTTGAGAATACCCGTGAAAAGTTTCATTGTTGTATTTAAGAGGGTTATTCCTCTATAGTTTTGTGGGCAGGTTTTTTGTCCTTTTTTAAATATGGGGATTGTGATACCATTATGCCATTCCTCTGGTGTTTCTGTTTTGTTTAATATTTTGTTAAATAGTTGTGCCAGTTTACTTGCAAATTCCGGGCCTCCATATTTTAAAAGTTCATTGTTTCATATCTGTTTCGCCTTCGTTTATATTCAGCGTTTCTTCAGCATCATATAGCTCTTTAAAATGCTGTTGCCATGTCTCTATAGGTACTCCTTTGGTCTGCACGAACTCGTTAACTGGTTTTTTCCTGTTGCGGAGCATTTTCCATACTTTCTTTTGGGCACCATATAGGTCGTAGTCCATGTCGCAAGTGAATTTGGAATGGGAATGAAAGTAAGGATGATAAATGATTCGAAGACATTTTAGATGCTGAATGCCATTCCATACGTTGGAAAAGTTGATGTTGAGAATAATCAGTCAGTTCCTACATATTACGTCAGAAAACTTTCCGAACCAATACACGGTGCTCACCGTAACATAACAATGGATAACTGGTTCACGTCAATACCTCTAAGTGACCAAATGTTGGAACAGTATCAGCTAACAATCCTTGGAACGTTGCGAAAAAATAAACGGGAAATACCTCCGAGGTTTACACAAAAAAAGAGGTAGGCACATCCATATTTGCTTTCGACAGAAACAAAACGCTAGCTTTGTACACTCCAAGAGAAAATAAAGTGGTACTACTTTTATCAACTTTACATCTTGATTCATCACTTAATACCTTGGCCGGAAAACCAAACCTTGTACATTCCTATAATGAAACAAAGGGTGGCTTTGATCCGATGTGACACTCTTACATGACTTCCCGTAAAACTAGACGCTGATCTCTCAGAATGTTTTTCAATATGTTGGATGCTAGCGAGATAAATGCTACCGTTATATTTTCACTTCTTCTTCCTGCAGTACCGTCTCCAATCGGAGGTTGGCTACCATCACAGCAATCTTTACTTTGTTGGCTGCAGCTCTGAACAACTGTAGTGAACTTCACCCATACCACTCCCTTAAATTTCGCAACCAGGAAATCCTTCTATTATAGGATGAGAGAATCATCCTATGAATATTTTCACTTGCAAATCCCCAATGGAAAGATGACCGAAAACACGATAGAAAAACATTTTTAAAAGAACTTTTAACGGCATTAATTGAACCGCACTTACGGGAAAGACTACAAATTACCAATTTGCCAACAATTCTACGTGTAAAAATTAGCGAAATATTAGGAGTACAATGTACATCAAAGAGATAATTTTGATGTTACTTTGCCTAAAAATGTTTTTTTAAATAAACATATTTTGAAAATAAGATATTGTTGTTTTGTACTACATACCGCAGAAAAATGAATACATAAGATTTATTTCAAAAAAAAAAACAATTAGGGTTTTCGAGACCCCACTGTGCAGTCATACTTTAGATGAACGAACTGTTCTGTTCTAGGGTTAAAAAAAAAACAAAGAATCCAAAGAATTCTTACCTCCCAGTCGGACAACTTCTCCACCGTCGGTACCGGAGGGATGTGTCGAAAATATCTCACACTATCCGATTGTTCAAGGTACCTCGTCGATGTTCTTTTGTTCGTGATGGCTGCAGATTCCCAAGGAGCAATTATCATCTGAAAGCGACAGACAAATTATTGTTATGAATAACGTAAATCATGTTTTACATAAAATGCAATCGAGGAAAACATTCATTGTTTTTTTTTTCCCAATAACTATCGCAAAAAATTTCACCGTCTAATGGTAGGGTCCGAGACGGAAGTGTGGGAAAGCATTTTGACTAATGTGCGATAATTTATTGTTTTGGACCGATCTTTTTTTTGCAATCTTTTATCCAAATAGGAGTGATCGAAGCAATAGGAAAAAATATTATCGGCAGACTTCAATGTCGGAATTCGAAAAAAAAGCGATAAAATAATTGGACAAAAAATTAACCATAAACTAAGTAATAATTTAACAATATTTAGTAATTATCCTATTAACGCCCAGATTAACATTTCTTTTATCACTTTGACTGCAATTTTTATTACAAGTCTCTTTGACTTAAAGTTAGACGGAAACATATGATTTTTTGTCAAATTTTAATTAGAAAAAAGAAGACTGATACCATATGGTATCACTGGGAACTTGTGATATATCCAATTTACAAAAAAAAAATATTTAGAATGCTACGAAACAAAACACTTTACACATAGTCCGACATCACATTTTATGCATTGTCTCATCTCGAATGTAGTACAATCAATTCCACCGCAACGTCTTCTATTACAAGGAGCAACAAAATGATCGATTTTGTTATACCTTACTTCTGCGAAAGGTTCCGTGGAACCTTCTTTCTGTCAGCACTTGTTGATTTGACACCATATCGAATACCTGAACTATTTCGCTACGAAAATCAAGGTTGGGTACATTTTGTTATTTTTTCTGTAAATGATCTAGGCATTGTTTATGCCTTAAAGTATGTAAAAATACCGTTTGTCCCATCTATTGCAACTAAATGAAACACCAACTAAAAACAGATTACTTACTGTCTAAATTAAGGGTACATGTAGAATCACTTTCGCACCAAAGTACATCACTATACAGGAAAAGAAAGAAAGTATTTTTCAGCTAATATGAATTTAAAAATCATGTACATGTTCATTAAAAAAGAACATAATTTCCTTATTTCAACCTTAGGAACTGAGAAAAATCTCCCCTACAAGTTTTTTTGGACATATATCAAGGAAAACTACCCTTCTATTGGCTTTACCCAACCAGTTAAAGATGCATGTGTTGGATGTGAGGAACTAAATTTAAAAATAAAAAGTCCTGTTTTGATTGAGAATACAAAGCGAACAGCTGTCACTGAGCTAACTATGGACGTATAAATAAAAATGGACTGGGCATGCCCTGCACTCTGTTTACCCAAATTTGAAGTCGAAAAGTTTATAGGCGCGGGGAAAGAGGCGAGGTGATAGACTGTGATATTTCATTTATACTTTATTTATACGTCCATGGAGCTAACAGTACACAATCGCAAATCTAAAAAGTTCTATGCATCACTGAAAGAAGTGATCACGCAGTGTGTCAGTAAGCCTGAAGAAAATGTTAGCATTTGCATAGATTTTATTACCAGCATATCTCTACCTTGTATTCCTGTCCAAGATATCCATTACCTTAGACAGCTCTCTGTAAACGTCTTTGGGGTGCATAATCTCGGGACACTGGAATGTACAATTTTTATCGATCATGAAGGTGAAGGGAGTAAAGGCTCAAACGAAGTATGTACTATGTTAGATTGGTACATAAAAAACAAAATTGGCAGTGGTGTAAAAAACCTTTATCTGTTTGGGGACAACTACGCAGGGCAAATACTGTGATTCGCATGATGATTTACTTGTGTGAGATAAAAAAGTTTAGTGAAGTCAAATTAACCTTTCCTGTTTGGGGCCACCCTTTTATGCCAAATGACAGAGATTTTGGCATCATCAAAAGAAAATTAAAGCAAGAAGAACGATGGATGAATTCAAACTACGGAATGCATTACAGCCAATTCAGGCTCCTACTAGAAGAGCATATTCAACTGTACTTCCAATAAACAAGAAAATGGAGCACATGAAGAAAACATTGGTATACATCCCGGAAGAAAAAATGAATTTTTGGAATCCGATTTTGTTATGGCTAATTACACCGGTATATACAGAAGAAAACTAATAACTTGAACTGAAATTTAGTTCAAAGTTTTAATTTATGATTTAATTACTTTATTTCATGTATAGGACATTGTTTTATTTCATTAAAATTAATTCTCATAAAATATTCTGTTTGTATATTGATTGTTTTCCTTAGAACTTGATATAAATTAATTGTTCCCTTGATATAAATCAAAATTGATCAGGTAACCATCATTGGTATTTAAACACCACATTTTGTAACCAAAATGTATTGGTTTGCCACGGATAACTTGTTTAAATCCATGACTACCAAAATATTTTTGGTCATATCATGGCTTCATCATATGAAACATTTTTTGCAGGAACAATTATCCAAACACTTTTTCTTCAGTTTGTCCATACGTGGGCGTAATTTCCACATCTTGTCTGCTTCATTGATCTGTGTATTATTGGCAAAATGAATATATTTTTGAATTTCATCAAATCTATTGCGACGCGTAACGTCGGTCACAAGTTTATTACTAAGATCGTCTTTTATATCCCAGTAATCTCTTCTTGATGGCACAGTGTTATTTCCAGTAAGAATTAATATTTCAAAGAAACATTTTAAATCTTCTACAGTTATATTTGGATTAGCTTGATTTTTAAAAAAAGGCATAAATTCTTGTTTCCCCGCAAATGAGATTCATTATATCATCAAAAAAAACATTCAAACAATTCTGTACATGTCATACCTTCATACAAACTGTAGTCAGCTAAGAAAAAATCGAATACTTGTTCAACAAGATCTCCTTCTACCCATTTATTTTGTTGATAATTTTTCGACTGTTCTAACAACCATTCAAATTTCGTCATTTTGGGTAATGTGGAACAATTTCACCCAATCATGTCAACATTAGACTGATAATTGCATTCAGTGCAATTTTCAATCCCTATGACAACACGATCGAGTTTGACAACTTCATCCAAATAAATTTTAAAAAGAACACCACAACAAGATTATAAATATTATGCGTGGTAATAGATCTTCTATAGTAGAGAACAGCAACGAATCTAATGTTAACTTAATTTTAATAATTGTACTTTCACTAACTGTACTTTTAATAAATAAATGTTTCGTTATGTTGAGTTATGATTTTTTTTTTTTCGAAAAATTATCCGCCGAATATCTCTCGGACATTGATGAATGCCTCATAATTTCATGACAAATTTCTCAAGCTCGTTGCTTGGTAACTTTCGAAGGAACGAGCTTTCGATTATCATGAAATTATCTCGTCTGTTATCAATGCCCTAGGGATATTACTACTGATAAATTGTTTCTATTCCTTTTCTTTTTTCTCTACCCCTCCCCAAATTAAGTAGTTTTTTTTGAACTTCTTGTAATCTGTAATTACTTTCAGACCTAAGGTTCCTGTGAAGGACCAGCAGTGAATGTTGGTTGTAGATTTACATCGTCATTACTAGCTTCAATATGTTTGTTATTGGTTAATTTTAGCTCAGCACCAGCTTGCAATTGACGACCAGTTAAATTATTTATCATGAGGTTATCTATTTCATTCCCTGAATCTTCATCAGTGTGAACAGATGGATTAGGTGGCTCAAGAAATATTCCTTTTGTAAGGTCAGTTCATTTTTGACACCCCGACGGTTTCCAGATATTTCGTTACCATCTGGCTACGTGTGACCGTGCTTTGTCTTGCATGAAAATAAAGTTTTCACCCACAAACCTAGCAAAAGGCATTGTCTGCCCTTTGCTAGACCTGCCAATGCCTTCCAAAACATTACAGAGCCTCCTCCAAAAGCAATACGTGCTCGTCAGGCACAAGCAACATATCTTTCCCCACGTCTGCTGTACGTTTTGATGTGACCGTCTGATCCATAAAGAACCATCACTAAACAAAACATTTTTCCAATCTTCTATTGGCCACTTTTTTTTGACTCATCCATAGTACCAACAATAAGTAAAATTTTTGAAATCTTAATTAAAGATCGTATATCAAATTATTTGGATAACAAATCAATTATATCTAGCTCTCAATTTGGTTTTAAAAAAAAATACTCAACAACTAAAGCTTTATTAGAAGTAATAGAACATATTGTTCACGGTTTTGATGCAGGTGAACCTACTAATGGCTTAATGTGTGACCTTACAAAAGCTTTTGATTGTGTAGATATTCAAACACTATTGATAAAATTGGAGTACTATGGAATAAGGGGCACCATACATGACCTTTTAAAATCCTATCTTACAGGAAGAACACAGATTGTTGCATTTAATAATCAAGAATCTGATCCTTTACCAGTTTCAACCGGAGTACCACAAGGATCAGTTTTGGGTCCTCTACTATTCTTGATATATATAAATGATTTACCAAGTGCAGTGGATAACACCAACTGTGTTCTTTTTGCAGATGACACAACCTTATTATGTAGAGGTAAAACTGATTACAGTCAGGATATATTAGAAAAATCTAAATCCTGGTTTAACTGTAACAAACTTAAGTTAAACGAGCAGAAAACCCAGAAAATCGTATTTAGTTCTGATAGATGGGTTACACCATCTGAACCAGTAAAGTTACTAGGTGTTACTATGGATACAAGATTGAACTGGTCGCACCATATTGAACGATTGTGTAGGGGGCTCGCCTCACAGATTTTTGCTATGCGCAGATTGGCTACTTCTGTGAGTCGAGATATTCTTAGGTCAGTTTATTTTGGAATGGTTCATAGTATCCTGACATATTGCATACTTATTTGGGGAAACTCGTCCTATGCATATAAAGTTTTCACTTTTCAAAAAGCAGCAATCCGAATTATTGACTCGGCAGAATATCGCGCCAGCTGTAAACCCTTATTTAAGAAGTATGGCATTCTTCCTTTACCTTCAATATATATATTTGAAACTTTGTTAACTATTCATAATAATATAAAAGATGTAAAATCACATGCTGATCAACATC